CTGATGATAGCTGCTCGCATCTCAGCTTGTCTAACAGACATTTCTTGCTGGATGAAGGACCATCACCTTCAACTCAACCTTGCCAAGACAGAACTGCTTGTGATTCCATCAAATCCATCGTTTCATCACAATTTCACCATCCAGTCAACTTCTTCAAAAACAGCCAGAAACCTTGGAGTTATCAGAAACAACGTCAGAAACATCTTACCTGGGCTAAGGAGAAAAATAACTGGACTGTTGCTCAGTGGTTCAAAGTCCTCCTTTCAGATAAAAGTACATTTTGGAGTCTGGAGGAAGACTGGAGAGGCACAGAATCCAAGCTGCTTGAAGTCCAGTGTGAAGTTTCTGAAGTCAGTGATGATTTGGGGTGCCGTGACGTCTGCTGGTGTTGGTCCATTGTGTTTTATCAAGTCCAAAGTCAATGCAGTCGTCTACGAGGAGATTTTGGAGCACTCTATGCTTCCATCTGCTGACAAGCTTTATGGAGATGCTGATTTCCTTTTCCAGCAGGATTTAGCACCTGCCCACAGTGCCAAAACCACTTCCAAGTGGTTTGCTGACCATGATATTAATGTGCTTGATTGGCCAGCCAACATGCCTGACCTGAACCCCATATGGAGTCTATGGGATATTTTGAAGAGAAAGATGAGAAACAGTCGATCCAACAATACAGAGGAGCTGAAGGCTCAATAGTACCTCAGCAGTGCCACAGGCTCATCGCTTCCATGCCACACTTCACTGATGCTGGACTTTGTGCTTAAGGAGCCCCGACCAAGTATTGAGTGCATAAATGAACATACTTTAAAGAACTTGAACTTTTCTATTTTGCAAATCCTTTTTTATTTTTCTTAGGAAAGATTCGAATATTTTGCTCAAATTTTTTGAGATGCACCTGTATATATATATATATATATATATATATATATAGTATATTATACTGTACTGTATTTTTGATCAAATCTATCTAAAATCTATCAAAATCTAAAACCAGCTATAATCTAGTAAAAATATTTAAGTCATTTTCTCCACACTCTCTCACTCACTCCTCATTTTTTTCACTGAATGAGGAACATTATTTAATTATTTTTATTTGTGCACCATAAAAATAGGTTGTAAAAAATGTCACAAGGGATTTCTGTCCACATTTTATCACTCTCATACTTTTTCTCATACTTATACACTCTCATACGTAAAACTATTGTTTAGCTCTTTAGAAAATTGAATGGCAAAATAAAAAGAGCATTAAAATCACTGCGATATTCAAAATGCTGCCTAATTCTATATTCTCAATAATATTGTGAATATTCAATAGATCAACAATCTCATACTAGTAGTCTATTACTAGTCTCTATTCTACTCTCTACTCTATCCTATAAATGCAAGTTCATTTTCACATCCATTTCTCCTCTATTCCACTCAGTCTGCTGTTTTCTCTTTCTCAGTCTCTCTCTCAGTTTGTCTCCTTTTTTCTTCCTGCGCTTCACAACTGAATCAGGCTCTCATTGATTTGGCAGCAGCAAGGAGCATTTGTGCTCACAGGAAGAGCTGGGAGCGAGAGAGCGATTTAGAAGAGAGAGAAAAAAGCAAACAAAATTGAGTGTACGTGTTGGAGAGTGTCATAATGTATTCTGGAGCAGCGTCAGGATGAACAGAGGCGAGATCGAATCATTATGAAAGGCCGTGTTGTTTGGGGCTTGTGTACACGACACACGACAATATATCACAGATTCTGCTCTTCCTGTTTCATCTGCAGGTAATTAAGGAGATTGATGATAATGTTCACAGACTCTTGAATATGTCGATTATAATGAGAACTGTGCTTTACTAAAGAAAGTCACTGGTTTCAATGAAAAATCGGCTCCTACAAAAGTGAGTGTCACATTTCTGAAAACAGATGAAGCATCTTAATTAGTGGCTAAATCAATACAGCTGCCTGTCATACTGTGGGAGCCGGTGAGGAATGAATTATTCTAATTCTTGGGAATACAAGGTGATTCAGGGATTTACATGAGGAATGACTCCATTTGCCACCCACAATATGAGCTAAATGGATCGTTCACCAAAAATATAAATTCTGATAACATTATGTGAGGAACAGATCAAAATTAAAGTCATTATTCACTGAAAAAACACTGGAGGGCAAGATTCCTTCGGTTTGGGTATGCTCCCCATCCAAAAAAAGAAAACTTGGATTGTAGTTCAAGATCATAGGCCAGATTTTTGACAGTGAAAACAGACAATATGACCATAAATCATATATGTTTAAAGCTGATCTGACAGTCGGACGTAATTTTGCGGTAATATTTTGGGTTTAAGACAACTAATATTCCTTAATATAATTGGATGAGAACAAAACTTGAACTGAATTGAGCTGGATAATGATAATATCATCTTGTTACTTTTACAGATTTGTTACTTTTACAGAAAAAGGTGTGTTTTGAGGGTGAGTAGATGCTACCTTTTTACAATTTGAAAGACAATGTGATCATAAATATAATATTTTTTACAGTAGTGGTCAATATTCTGGGTTTAAAAGAATATAATTTATTAATATTCAGTAATATAATCGATTCAACTGCACCGGCACTGAGAATGTCAGATGAGAGCAAGATTTCAACTTGAAATTTTATATGCACAGCACTTTCCAATGATATTACGTGTGGTAGCTTTTGAAACTTCGAAAGCACTTAGTGAAAATAACACCTTGCTTACCTCATGGTGTACAGCAGGGTGCCGTCATCTTGGATCCGCAGCAGTTTGTTGGGCATGGTCATGTTGTGTGCGACAGATTTCTTCCCGTTGTGAAAGAATGTGTCTGGAGTCCAGATCTTACTGGCCATCAGGTTGTTCAAACGCAGAATGTTCATCGGTCCCTCAAACTTCAGCCGTTCATCCTTCCAGCTCTGCCTGAAGAAGACATCGATGGTGTACTCCTGCAAAAAGATGAAACAACAGCACATTTTAGACACATTTTGAGGTTCTGTTGGATGTTTTCTGTTGCTAAGGGCTCGGATGGTGCTTTGTTTATGATAACTGAGCACACAATACCCTCTTACAGTGACTGATTGGTGGTGAATTTGCTGTTCCAATCCAATCAATTGGACAACCTGGGTTTGTGCTCCTCCTCAAGCAAAGCCTGTGAATGCAATTCAAATTCAGGCATTTTCTTACCCTCAAATGATCTGTGGTGTAACATTTTCTATCCACTTATTTTTGCTCTGGTGGATAAACACAGTTTGCCAACTGATTTGCAAATGGAGTTTACGGCATTTGAGACTCAAGCTCTGTAGGGGAGAGTCAATTGCTCAAACCTTTAACTAGTGCTGCTGAGGGTGATCAGATCCCACTCTCGGCTCCATAAGAGAGATTGTGCTGCCCAGAGATACCATTATGAAGCTCATCACGGCAGAACAGGGAAAACTTTTAAAATGCTCTAAAGATAGATTACAAGAGGGTTTTGGCTTTAGATTGGGAGGTGAAAAGGTAATGGAGTTCTATCAAACAGTCAACAAGTTTCCAGCAACAATCAGTGGCCACAGTGAATGTGAAACTACTGTGACACATTCACAGCCAAGACAGACATATTTCTGTAAAACTGTGTGCTTTGTACACAATTGTTTCTATATGTTACATGGATACTTTTGTAACAGAGGCCCATCTCCCATGCCGGAAACACTGGTTCGAATCCCACTCGGAGGGTGTTGAGTAGATCCACAGAGGTTACACTTGCAATATTTATAAGCAGTGCTGACAGTATCTGTTCATTGTTCGTATGTTCTTTATAGTGGGTTATTTTTTTAGTTCAGTGTTTTGAAAAATTTTATAAAAAACTAAATCATAAAAATTAACATAACTGATGTTTAATATATTGATAAGTCTAGTGGAATTTTGCACCAATAAGATTTCACTCATATATTTCAGCTAGTTGACAAAGCAGCATTTCTCATTTTGTTTTAGTTTAACATTATGTATTAAAATGACGAAAACTGAATACATTTTTTTAAAACTATTTATATAGACTTAAAAAAAAAAGACTAAAAATGACAAAAACACACAAGGAAAACCTTAACTAAAACTAAAATTAAAATATAAAAAATACATATTCTAAATATCAATTCTACAGTGAAAGCAGTTCCGTTCTAAATTCAAAGAGCCGTTTGGAGAACTTTTTATGATGGATTTATGCACTTTTATTGGACTTCAAAATCTCGGCCCCCATTAAAAAGCTCGGAAGAACCAGGACATGTTGTAATATAACTCTGAGTGTATTTGTCTGAAAGGACAAAGTCATATACACCTGGGATGGCTTGAGGGTGAATAAATCATGGGGTAATTTTCATTTTTGGATGAACTATCCCTTTAAACTACAAGCAAATCTAGTAGTCAAAGCAGTTCTAGACTAACATAAACTGTAGACTGTTCTAATACTGAAAAGCAGATGTAGAGAAGAAGCGGTTCTAGACTTAAAACATCTTTGGAATAAAAGCAGCTACAGAAAAATAAAAAAAATGAAAGCATTTCAAGAATAAAAGCAGCCTGACTAGAATCAGGTCCTGATTTAAAACCAGAGCTAAACTAAATTAAATTTGTTCTGCATTGAAAGTTCCAGACTAAGAGTTCTGGTGTAAAGCAGCTGCAGACTGAAGTGTCACACTACAAGCAGTTATAGAGAAGCACTGCGACAGAAGTTTTATGACCGCTTAGACAGTGTCTGAACACTGCAGGGACTGTAGCCAGATTCCTTCCGCTGCTGCAGGTGCTTTTTTATTTTGATGGATGTACAGCTCATTCTCTGGCACGTCTCTCGGATCTGGACGATTCGTCCAGTCAGCATTCTGCAATGGTTATGACTGTCTAATTTCAGTCAAGGGGCTTGTATTGTCCCGGCTGAGGTGGGTTTATATGAACATCCATTAACAAGTAGAGATGAACCATGAAACCCCACCGCCATGCCATCCCTGCACTCACATTATTAAACATACACCCACCACACACATACATGTACACACACACACACACACGCGCGCGCGCGCGCACGCACGCACGCACACACACACACACACACACACAAGTCAATAGCAAATACTTAAACTAATAACAAAACAGTAGCTGAT